TTTGTTTTCCTGTGCTTCCCAAGGGTTGAAGTATGTGCAAAGAAAGGTTTCTCAAAAACCGGTTTTGATTGCGAAACCCTTTGATTCTTTGCTGGAAAGTGAGTCTAGCAACACACAGAGTCGTCCTGGCCTGGTACCTTGGTACGAATGCGTTAGCCTTACTAACTAGCCCACCACTCTCCCAGAATCTTCTAGAGTTAGACGGTAGATGTTCCTTTTGCGATCGTTTGCGGTTCTTGGATACAAGACATTTAATAGATATTCGTTGCCTTTTAACATCAAGTCTCCCACTAGGGGGAAAATTTTAAGTTCTCACCCTTCTGTAGAGAGGCGAAAGATGGCTAGGTGAAAGCTAGAAACTTCTCTCGGACTTCAAAAAGAGTACGGCCAGCAGGTTACCAGAGACCGGACGTAAGCAAGCGCCTGTGATTGTGCAAGCTGAAGTAACTGCGCTCATTCGAGCAGCTTAGCTTGTGCTTGCTTCGCTGTGCTCGCAAACTCTCGCAAAAGGAGCATCCACTGTGTAACTTTAGGAAGATTCTGGAGATGGTGCTAGTTAGTAAGGCTAACGCACTCAGCAGAAAGAACTGGGCAAGAAGCTCTGCAGTCATGTCTGGGCCTACTTAACTAGACAATAGAGCAGTTCTGGTTCAACCTTCCGGCAGGCCTCCATGTGCCAGCTTCACCAGCCATAATTATCGAAGTCGGCAGTGTCAGGGTCAGACGCAAGTCAGACATCCCCGTCCTGCCAAGTCGGATAAGCTCACTTGGTTCAGGGTCGTAGATTGAAGAGTCTCAGACGTTCGCTTTCTAAAGCCAGCAAAGAAGCCCGGTGAAGACTTTTTATTTTGTCAAGCGTTCTTAGCATTGCACAAGACAACCTTTGTGGCTTCGATCAGCTGGAAATTAGTTCCCTAATTGGATCTCAGCTGTATTTTCGCATGCACGCTTTGGATGCCAGCCGTGGAAACTCATCTAAGTGGATTCACGACCTGTTAATAAGAGTCACAATCAGGAACAAAGCTGTAGACGATTTTTGCCACGAATAAATTTAAACCGCATAGATTTTCGCTTGTGCTGACTCAGCAGCTGGACTTCTCTTGTTTTACATGTGCACAGGTGCAGACATTTGGATCTTGTGAGTTTTATAATTCTTGTGCATTTTGCATTGTTGCTGCTAAATCCATAATTTTCATACTGAAGCGAGTCAGAACTTTGTGCAATGCTGTGTGCGCTTTGTCGTTGTCGGATTTCGACTTGGGTGCAGCAACTGTTTGCGTAGGATTGCGCGTGGAAGAAATTTCTGGAAAAAACAGCATTTGGACTGGAATTTGTGCGCCCACCTCTGTTTGCTTGGCTTTGCCTCTTCTAAGATGTACACCATCACTAGGCAGACTTTGCTGGTTCGTGTGGGTTGGTCGCGTTTTGTGCAGAAGCCAACTTTGGCATCACGCTAGCTAAGTTGACAATGCAACAAACGTAGTAGCGAATTGGCCTTTGCAAGCCAGATGCATATATACGACCAGTATCCGCCGCCTTTCTTCGTCCTTAACTGTGAACGCAACTTTTCTGGTTGACGCAGCTGACACGCGGCCAACTTCAATAGTAGCTGCTCTTCGGCTTAGATGGGCCAGCTTGTCCGGTACGGTCTTCATCAACTTCTGATTCCTTTTCCGAGTCATCTGCCAGGGTGTTCACTTAGTGACTCTGGCAGTAACCTTTGCCTGTTGCTGGTAAGCAACTTTGGACATGATGAGGTGCCCGTTTTGCTTGAGCACTTCGGACTTTCAAGCTAGTGCTGAAGTGCCTTAGTTGCCGGGTGGCTGTCGACTTCATTTAGATCTTCTGCTGTTTTGCCAAAACGCGACACTTGTAACCATGAGACTGCTTGCAAGATTTTGGCAGGCAGTGCATCCCGTGTGGACTGCTTTGGAAGCTTAGCGGGCCTAGCGGTTGTGGTTCCTGGGGTTTTGTGATCGGTTTATAGATTATTACTGGCCAAGCGTTCATCCGCAGGGCTGTATTTCATATGAGCCAATGTCTAAACTCTTAGTATCCTCCTTAAAACCTCTATAGTAGTTCCCTATATAATGCCCTGTATAACCCCCCTTTAAGGAGTTTAGATGATGGTTCATACGCAGTTCCCTTCCGGCACTTCTTCAGCATTCATGTTGAAGCGGACATGCCAGCCTATGTTGGTTCAAGACTTGATTGCCTAAGGCGCAAGGGGCGTCATAGCAGTGGGTAAGCACCAAGTTGATACATCCCAGCTTGTTCTTGGTTCATTTCAAGAGTCTCGAGTCCTGACAGTGTAGACAATGTAGACTTTTTTTGTGAAAGCGTGAGCGTGATTATCAGTTTTGTTTTTGGTTTCGGGTGTTTTGGGTCTGCGTTCTAGCCTTGAGCTGCGGTTGGACAGCACGTCTTTTGACTTCAGGGCTGGGTGCAAGAGGTGTTTGAAGGTGGCTTGCTGCGATCTTACGCAACACCTGACGTATTACGAGACGTGCTAGGTGCTTTCTGACGGAAATCAACAAGCGCGTAAACTGCCGTGGCGATTGTGCGCCAGTGCCGGGTGCGCCCAGAACCCACACCCCATGCGAGATCGCCTGAAACGGGGTGGGGCCGGCAGTAGGGGTGGACTAAGATTTAGGTGGATGGCCAGCGGCAGTTTACCCATTCCCGCGGCACAAGTATGTGCCACGCCACTACCTACGCCGCCTGGCATGGGCTCACACAAAGCGTTTACATGTGGGTTCTTGGAATGCGTGCGCAGCGTGAACCTGCTGTGCCTCTATGTGGGGGCCAACGGGGTCACAGCGGCTTCGAGCAGCTCGGGCTGCTCTGAAACAAGACTTTCGCAACTGTGTAGTGGCTGCGTGGCCCACAAATTGGCCAGCATCCATGATTGGTCCACTCACAAGAACGTAACTGAGCCTTGCATATTCAGGCATCCTTCCACATGTGTTTTTTACATGTGAGGGCATCAGCACCTGATGTGAACTTTAGGCGCAGGCAGCATGCTCAGGCACTATGGCCATTTGCATTTTTTTTTTTTGCGGCCAGTGCATTTTGGTCGGTTGATGTGTACTGTACCTTTCAGCACTGTTGATGGGGCGCTTGACTTTTCCAACTTGTCATTGTATCATATTGTCGTGCAAGCTTTCCATGATTTTGGTTTCGTGCGGAAGCGGTTTCTCCACCCGTTTCCATGATTCAATTCATGCTTTTGGTGTTTGGCTGGAAGCTTTTAACCACGAAATTTGATAGATGCTTGCGTTCTTCCGATGATTTGCATTTCCCCGTGGAGTTTCCACAGTTTTGTTGGCACACTTGACTTTCAAGCCTGTTATTTTCGCATATTGACGTGCACATGGTGAACGTGCTTTTTTTTTTTGCTGGCAGAGTGCCTGCAGCGACATTCAACAAGCAAACTCCTCAGAGGTTTCTCGTCCTCTAACAAATATTACCCCAATATAAACCTAATATTTCCCCAATATAACCCCCTATAACCCCAATATACCCCTAATATTACTACCCCAATATAACCCCTATATATTAACAGGTTTGTTTGGGCAGCCGTCTGAAGATGTCTGGCCCGCGGGCCCACAAACATAAGACCAGAAGCTTTGCTGGTGGTTGTACAGCCTGATTTTGCATCGTGGTTTTGGAAATCGTTTGTGTTTTTTGTTGCTTGTTCTTTGGGGTGTTTTCTGGGACTAAAGTTTTTGACAAACCCTTCTTGTTCCACCGAGATGTTGTTTTCTTGGCTGCACAACTGGATTTCACACCAACGGGCTCAGAGCTTGATGTGGTGAGATCCGGCTGAAATTTCCAGGCCAGCTCCAGTCTTGCAAAGGCGGTTTAGTCTGAGCCAATGTAAGCGCTTTGCCCTGGTAATTTGGTATTCCGGTTGTCCTCCTCAAACGCAGGGCACTTGGTTATGTTGCTTCCTTGGTGTATCCTGTAAGCTCTACTTGTCACTGCAACCAGCCTCAATCTACTGTGCCTTTGTGAGCCAGGTGTGGGCTGGAAGCTTTTCCTTTGGCCAGGAGCTTTCAGCGTGTGTGTGGGGCGTTTTGCTTGAAATGGGTGCGGCCAGGGCAAGGGATAAATGAAACCCTAAATAGTCGTTTCCATTTTCTTTGTTCATTCTCCCTATATACCCTATATAGACCCTTTAGTACCCTATAGTACCCTATATAACCCTGTCGTATCCAAGCAGATTTGTTCGCAGCCTGCTGGATTGAGGGGTCGAGATCGAGATCATCCCTGCCTCAAGCCTGTCCGAGACCGAGACCTTGCTTTGTTCCAGTCAGCGGGTTTTTGGGCTTAGGGTTTAGGGTCTTATAATGGAGAATCAAATGGAAAAGAAAATGGAACATTAAATGGAAACTGGGTTATATAGGGGTTATTTGAGTAGGTTTTTGGCTACGGTTGAACCCATAGCTAGCGGGCCTCGTAGATTCGTAGATTCATGCGGGCTTATTGCCTTTGAGTTGCCCGCTGCTTAGGTCCTTTGCTTAGTTTTTCAACGTCCGTGCGCCTGGGGCTCATCATCCAAAGAAGTTGCGCGATTTCTCGGTTGTTTGTGTGGGATGTGTGGGGTTTAAGTTGGACACTGCCCCCACTCAGTAACAGTTGGATAATAGTTAGAATATGGGTATATATAGCCCTNNGGGGGCAGTACCCAAGGTTTAAGGATGTTTTGGGTTGAGAAGTATTGCAGACCAGTGGAGCCAGAAAAAGAATGCTGCCTTCTCCAAGGCACACGTCAAACGGAATTGGGGTATAGTCCCCCTTCAGTAGAATATTGGGGTATATTATGGGGGATATTAGGGATAATGGAAAAGAAAATGAAAAGGGTTATATAGGGTATAGAATATGGGGCATATGGGGATCTTACTACAATATACCCAAAGCCATATGCTATCTACTTAAGGGGGACTATACATCAGCTGTTTGTTTTTTGGCTCAACTCAGGTCACGTCATCGACGTCATGGTCTTCGCTGTCCCAGGGCCAGGGTGCTTTTGCCGGGTTGGGCTCTGGCTCTGGATCCTTGCCACGGCGGACGGACGCTTGGGCCAGAACAGGACCAGCACCAATACGTCTGTGAGCAACATCTCCGTGCCGCACATGACCTTCGTTGCACACATGACCTTCGTTGCGCAAGTGGAGCAGAAGTTTCAGAATCTGACTCATGGTGGTAAAGATGTTTTCAACAGTACCCGCGCAGCCACGGGTTGCAGCGGGTGCCTTCAAAACTGCAACACTGGAATGACAGCAGCTTGCAACCTGGACTTCCGTACCAATTTGACTGGGTTGCAGCTCTGTCTTGTGCAGGCCTCCAACTTCTGCTCGACACACTGCATGACCATGGGTCTCATCTCGTCTTGCAACAGTGGCTGCCTCCGAAATTGCGACACAGGAATGGTAGCGGCCTGCAGCCTGGATTTCCCAACCAATTTCACCGGGCGGCAGCTGTGCTTTGTGGATAGTTCCAATTTTTGTGCAACCCACTGTATGACGATGGACATCATCGGCGGCTGGCGCTGAATGCCAGCGATTTAGTTAGTAGGATGTACCGACTGTCCCATTGACGGTCCAATTGGTAAATCTTTGTATAGGTATTTTGAGGGTCGGCAGCCGCATGCGGTCACAAGCATGCTGCGGCTGCAAATCCAGGCTAATTACTTGCGACGTGTTGCATGGATTCAGCAAAAGGGTCTGGCTTTTCGTCCTAGAAATAATGAGTTGCAGGGTACCGGCTGAGATAGGGAAACTGTCAAGTCTAGTCAGTATCTCATCCCACTTGTCTCTCACGGGTAGGCCATCTTGTATCTCGACCATCTTCCGAAGCTTCAGCAGTACATGCCTCCTTTGAGCTAAATTATAAACATTCCGGTGATGGCTTGTAACACTTCGATAATTCCATTTCTTGCAGTACCCATCATCAAGCTTGGGGGAGCACGCTGGGCATGCCTGAGGTGCCAAATATTGGCTCAGGTTGACATCGGGTTTATGGGTTATGGGTTTAGGGTTCATGAAAGGCGTGGGGTTCTGGTCCACAACAAGGGCCTTCCAAGCTCGTCAATTCCTCGATGTTATGCTCAAGGGCTCAGACATCCCGTGTACCCATCCTTGTTGAATGATGTGTTGATGCCATCCGGGCCCAAGCTACTGTTGATACTAACAATCCTGCATGACCTTAATATACCATAGTCCCAATATTCCCAAGGCATAAGGTCCTTAGGGTCATGCAGGATTTCTAGTATCCAGCGTAGCTCCTCATGATACTTGTAGGCGAAGGTTTCATGAGCAGTGTGGGAGGTCTTGTAGTGATCATCATGTGAGTTATGACAGGCCTGTTTGCGTAGGCATGCAACCGGGAGAAATCTCCATGTTGCATGGTACCACTGAGCTTTTTGTCGGGTTTGTGTTTTAAGTATCTGGGACATTTAGATGATTTCGAAGAGTTTCTATGTTGGGAGTCTGAGGAGAGTGAGGGAGACAGGGCAAGTGAGGGGTTCAACATACCAGGACAGGTTATAAGTCTCATGTGTAGCTTACAGCATGGACTCTATTATCTTTAGATGATGCTAGACTTCCCTTGATACTGCGTGCCATCACAAGCAGCATCATGATATAGGAACCTTTGCAATTCCATCCTCCCCGATGCACGTATACAAACCCTACATGCAGTCTCGCAGTTGGTTACTCATCTTGCATTACACATACACGCCTGTTGAAATCCTTTGCTGAATTCAACAACGTACCCTGGGGCCCACCAGGTGCTGCTGTGTGATTAGGGTAAACCCTAAACCCTAAACCCTCATTTCCCCAGCACACGGTCCCAGAAAGCCATCCGCACAGTGGCTGAAAAGCATGTCGTATCACAGTTTCGTCCAAGTTGTTTTGTTCAGCAGCTGAGCTCACATGTGTGCAACTAGATTGGGGCTGTTGGGCGCAGCGGCAAATCGTCGTGAGGAAAGAATTTGGCCCAGACTGGACTTTTGATTTTTCGCTTCCAAGATATGACCAACATGAGAAAGCTTTTCAAAGTAGATGAGCCATCAAGCCACATGCCCTGATGTCATGATATGTGTTTTGCCACATGGCCACAGCCTCACAGCGGCATGCCTGCTCAGATGTCAGGGGATTGACAACTTTGATGTGTCTGCCTGGGAGTACTCGTAGCCGCACATGCAATAATATATATATATATACTATAATTTCCTTTAATATGCCATGATTACTATAATATACTATGATATACTATAATTTTCCATATTTTTACTACTATAATATACTATAATATACTATTATATTCTATAATTCGCCATAGTATACCACTAAAAAAGATTCCAGCTGCTAGGCCACCACGCGCGCGGGCGCGTTTTCTCAGCGGACTGAGAAAGAAAAGGCTGCCAAAGTGGGATGCAATCACAAAAAACAGCTTGCACTTGTAGCCATAACTATTATTGGTATTATGTTTCTATTCATTTTTACTACTATATTATTGTTCTTGTTATTTACATTTTTGTTTTGTTCCATGTCCATCCAGATACGTGGTGGCTGTGAATTCTCAAGCGTAAGACAAGATGCGTGAAAGGGTTGTTCCAAGTTGCTGAGACCTTTCCCTCATGTTGCTGGAGGTGACATATGGTTTTGAGAGACCCAAGCATTGTATGATATTGTTGACATGCGCTTCCCAACTTCAGCAACGTCGAAGGGTAATGTCGACCCGTGATTAACAAAGACAAACCCACTTTTTCAAAGGGCCTTAATATTAGGATCCCTTCTATAATCCCCATTCAGGGAAGGGGGTTTAGTAATTAGTGTTCTACATTACTGAAGCGTTCCCTCGTCTCCGTGTTCTTTTGGGTTAATTCCTGCATCTGGCCTTGGCGGCTCCAACAATAAAAGTGGAGTTTCTCAATGATTTTGAGGCCTATACCCCCAAGTACTGCTCAGCCTCCTTGTTGCCTTGCTAACCCTAAACCCTAAACCTATTGGGATAATGGAAAAGAAAATGGAAATTACTATAATGGGTAATATATAGGGATTATAGGGTATATATTGGGGTTATATAGGGATAATGGAAAAGAAAATGGAAACTACTATAGTATAATAACTTCCTTAAAAGATCTCAGCTCCTGAAGGGGTTTTGGCCGCCTGAGGCTGTGCTGGGGCGTTGTCAAGTTCTGAAAGGGCAAAGCGCTGAGCATCCTTGAACCTGGAAGGTGTCCGAACCCTAAATGCTAAACCCGAAATATTAAACCCTAAACCCTAAATCCTAAATCCTAAAGCCTAAATCCTCAATCCTAAATTCTAAGTTCTAAATTCTAAACCCTCGATGCTAAATTCTAAACCTTGAATCCTAAATCCCAAACCCCAAACCCTAATATTTGAGATGCTTCTGGAGACTCCTGAGACGCCCTGGAAGGCCTCCCCTGACGTAACGCACCATGGAGAACTCACGAAGCCTGACCGCACTTGACCACAAATTCGCAGCATCGACAGCATGAGAGCCATAGTCTAAACGCCCTGAAGGGGGGTTATATAGGGGATTATATAGGGGACCCTAAACCCTGAACCCTAAACCCTAAACCCTAAACCCTACATCCCCTCGCTGCTGGGCTTCGTTTCTGTGAGGGAGGCACCATACCCTCATCACCGCAATAGGGTTTCGGGTTTAGGTTTGGGGTTCAGGGTTTGGGGTTCAGGGTTTAGGGTTTCGGGTTTAGGGTTCAGGCTTTAGGGTTTAGGGTGTAGGGCTTAGGGTAGGATAGTATATATAAATGTACCTTAATTGCCCCAGTAAACATCAAGGTGTATGAAACCCTAAAGTTTGAGGTTTAGGGTTTAGGGTTCAGAGATATTATCCCCCAATAATGGAGAATCGAATGGGAAAGAGCATGGAAAATGAACAGGAAACCCTAGGTCCCTTGGAGGGGTATATATACTACAGTACTTTCCATTTTCTTTTCCATTATCCCTTTGTTCTTTATATGTCCTATGTATTCCTTACATAACCCGGCAAGAATTTGTTTGTGCGTCGTTTGTTTCCATGCCTGCGATTCGTTTTGAGTCTTCAGTGACATTGGCCTTGGCTGAGGAGCCGCCTGTGGACGAGCATGAGATAGTGGCGTGAGTGGCCAGGAACTTGGTTAGGGTTTGGGGTTTAGGGTATAACGTAGTAGTTTCCATTTTCTTCCCATTATCCCTATACAACCCTAATATATTCCCCATAGATTGGATATGCAGAGAGGGTTCGAGGTTGTGGCGTTGATCCTCGTAGTCCCTGCAATGGCCTTTATGGCAAAAAATGCGGACATAGCGCTTCAAATGTCCTAGAAAGAACATGTGCCTCCATCCGGCAAGCAAAATGGTACTAATAGCTGCATAGCACAAAGGCTGCACAGCGTGATAGACTAGAACAATGTAGCATCAACGCTGTGATACAGCGTGGCTCTAATGTGACATAACATTAGCCTGAGTCCCACGCCTGAAATTGGCTTTTACAGGCACTTGACTGGATTCGGGCCTCATACTTCGGCCGCGGTGCCGGCTTCCCAAAATTTGCTGGTCACGCATGATGGTGGGCTGAAGCATTATTTCCGTCTTGCAGGGGTTCTAATCTGTAAAGGGGCTGCGATTGGTCATATCTGAGGGTTGGTGCTCAGATGCCCCAGTGGGATGCAGACTATAGGGATTATAGGGGTATATATATTGGGGTTATATATTGGGATAATGGAAGAGAAAATTGAAACTACTCTTTTGATGATGTTCAGTCCATGGGATCAGAGGAGTTCATGGAGTCCTCAGGCCACGATTTTGTGAGTGTAACCAGCCGGCGGCAATGCTGCTTCATGGGGTTCGGCGTTTTCCTTAAGCGAGATGTTGGCCTGAGGCGTGCTGCCGCCGACGATCTCCTGACCATGATTTGCATCACCATTGCTTACTTTCATCGGAGATGATTCAGGTGGGAGCTTTCACCATGAAAGAGCTTTGGAGAACCATCTGTTGCATTGCAGTGCCGCCACAGCCTTCAGAAATGGTAGTTTCCCAAAATAGGGGGACCCCAATATAGACCCCAAATACTATAGTCCTTCTTATGGGGATCCCCAAAATGGTACCCCTAATTTTGGGGAAACCCGCCAAATGTTGTTGGCAAGTTTCCAATAGGGCCACGGCTAGCTCTTGAGATGATGGCTTTCGGCAAAAGCAGCATGAACCTCCGAGCTCTGATTAGGGTTGAGGGCATATTCATGTCGCCACCGGTCGGCGTGAGTGAATGCTTTCGTCAGCAGTCATGTCAGCCGATGAGCCTTAGCATCAACTGTCCAACTGAGATGTTCTATGTCCCATGCAACTGTCCGGGCTCCAGTGAGGAAAATGAAGCTGTAAGCATTTCTGGCAGCTGACCTGCTTCACGAAGCATGATGTGCAATCAGCCGTGGCCGGTTCTGCAGAGCAAATATAATTCTCCTTTCTTCGATTTCATTACAATTTTGTTGGATTGAACTGCCACCGCTCGATGCGCAATTTCCGGGCACGGTGCGGCATGCCAGCACTATTCTGGGTGCTGGTTGTGCTCCGACGAGCAGCTGGAAGATGCTTGGTGCTGATGCTGTGCATTCGGGCCACTGCGAGCTGCTCCACTCGCAAAGATCAATTTTGCAGCCGCCTGCACGTGTGACGTCCAGTTTCCCCCTGCTTAGTTTGTTGCTGCGGGAGAGTTGCACTTTCTGGCTTAATTGACACAATTTTGTATTCGACCGTGGCTCACGGCCACGACCAGTGCCGGTAGTTGGGCTTGGAGTTTGCACTGTGTGCAGAGAGGCCTTGTCGCGCTCTGCTTTGAACAGGTCCAGTGCATCACTTTTTTCTAACTCACCGGCAGTTCTTTCCTGTTCAGAAAACTGTGCAACCAGTGTGCTTGGCTTCTTTAATCTGCCTTCGCTGGGAGGCTGAGGCGAGAGGGCAGCCAATGAATTAGGGTTTAGGGTTTAGGGTTTAGGGTGCAAGCTGTGATTTCGGTGGGATGCAGACTATCAGGATTATAGGGATAATGGAAAAGAAAATGGAAACCCTAGGCCCCTTTAAAGGGATATATAGGGTTATATGGGGGTTATATTGGGGTTATATTGGGATAATGGAAAAGAAAATGGAAACTACTATTTAAGGTAATATATGGGGATTATAGGGTTTATATTGGGGTTATATTGGGATAATGGAAAAGAAAATGGAAACTAATATTTAAGGTAATATATAGGGATTATAGGGTATATAGCTGCAAGGTCACCCACCCTTTCAAAGAATCAACCACACGATGGTGATCGGACTGGCAGGACTCCGCCATGGGTTTAGGATGATTTGGGGATTTTCTTCAGCAAGCAACAGCTGCATGTTTCAAACATGCCTCACAACGTATATTGCGCTCAGATCCTGCTTGGAGGAGGCTCTTCTTCCGGGTCGGTGCCTTGATTCCCGTGGGAGCTTGCATAGTTGCCCTTAATTGACATGAATTCGCAATCTCCATTATCCCTCTAGAATCCCAATATATAGCCTATTATAGTATAGTAGCTTCTATTATCTTTTCCCTTATCCCTACATAACCCCTATATACCATAGAAATGCCAAGCCCAAGGGCCCAAGGCTCTTGGCACTTTTTGGCCGCTCCGATTCACCCTTCACTCGGGCTGGACTTGGTGCTCTGCCCGCAGCGGGCCGGGGCCTGAGGACTGGGCATCTCTTAGGTGGACCCCCCACCCAGTAATAGTGACTATTATGGATAATAAGGAGTATACTAGGGTCCTCTTATATTCCTATTATACCACGATTACAGGGTGGGGGGTCCTCCTAAGGTATCGCCCCTACAGCGCAGGCCGGTGGGATGCCAGCGGCATGCAGGATGTGATATTTGAGGACTGGTTATACAGGGGATGCATAGGTGTTATATAGGGGATATCTAGGGGTTATATCTGGATAATGGAAAAGAAAATGGAAACTACTATTTAGGATTTAGGGTTTCATAAATCTTGATGTTTACTTCAGCTCAATTCAGATCTCAAATAGAAGTCCGCTGCTTTCGTGACATCTCCTGGCCATGGGTGCCGGCGCGGGGGTGATGGGTAAGATGGGCCCCGAAATGGTGGAGAAAATGAAGGATATCTCGGACGAAGACATCAAGAAGGCGGCAGCAACCATTTCTACTGTATAATGGGGTACATATTGGGGTTATATATGGAGATAATGGAAAAGAAGATGGCAACTACGATTATGGGTAATATTTAGGGATTATAGGGTTTATATATTGGGGTTATATATAGGGATAGTGGAAAAGAACATGGAACCACTCTAATGGGTAATGGAAAGGGATTAGAGGGGTATATATTGGGGTTATATA